TTCTTCTATGTTCAATAGGGAAAATGTGGGTCGTGTTAGAATAACAATTTTTAAGGTCAAGAAACACATATTGAAATGTGGGCACAGCCTGCTTAGTCAAAGTTAAGGTTGATGTGATTTTATTCAAATTATCTATTTTGTAGAAAATATGTAGTTTACTATCCAGATAAGCACTGAGAAAACTTAGCTGCTCTTCTGACAGCTCAATCTTACTTGTTGTTTTTTTTGCTACCTTTGAACTATTCATGAAAATTGTTTTGGAATTTGTGAGCATTTGAATGAAATTTTCTGTATAATTAGAACAGTCAAAACTGCAGAACTGGAGATATGAGCCGCATCATGACAAAACCAAACATAATGGGTTTGCATCCGCGCAGTCTGATCAGGATCCATGCTGTTCGCTTACAGACCTATAACAAGTAAAGAAACTGATAGCGAACAGCATGGATTCTGATCAGATTGCGCGGATTTGCGCAGGCTGGTCTGGATCCATGCTGGTCACAAACCCATTATGTTGGTTTTGTCATGACACAGCTCATATAAGCTTGCATACCTCTTAATGTTCTAAACTACTATGCCGGCAGCTTTCAGTATGTCTAAAAACATTAATATGCAGTGCAAGCACTATCATAATGTCAAAAATAGAAAGCATAGGCTATATACTTGGTCATAGCTTCTGAAATATGTATTTTCTTCTAACATGTATGTATGATGTCAAAAAAAACTGTTCATGTAAAGTTTTACATTTGATAATGCAATTAAAAGGGAATAAATAATAAAAAAAAACAACCTGTGACTTGTTTACACACTAGATGATTTATCATTTAGAAGCAGAACAGCTGAAAAGCATGACATGTAATTTAAATGCCTTCTTTTTGTATTATTTTAAAAGAAATTTTATCGCAACATTTCAATGAAAAAAAATTGAAATTTAAGCCATCTGTCTTTACTAGGTTAAACTTTCCATGCATAAATAAGTTCTACCTTTACCATGGGCTTTCATACACTTATTTATACAAATTTTAGCAAGTCACTTCACTGAGGCCTCTTCTGCCCCCCCCCCCCTCTATTATTTAATTTTTTTTTATCCTTTAAGATTCAAGTGATGTAATGGCTAGCCTACCCCATCAAGTCCAGTCATCTTATATGAGCCGCGTCACGACAAAACCAACGTTTTGCGTTTGCAAACAGCATGGATCCAGACCAGCCTGCGCATCCGCACAGTCTAATCAGGATCCATGCTGTTCGCTACCAGTTTCTCTACTTGTTATAGGGTTTTTAAGTGAACAGCAGGGATCCAGATGAGACTGCGTGGATGCGCAGGCTGGTCTGGAGCCATAATGGTCGCAAACCCATTATGTTGGTTTTGTCGTGACGCGGCTCATATGTGCTATTGAGTTTTGCCAATACATAGGCCATGGCCTTGACAAGTAACATAAAAGGAGTATCCATTTCCCCCAAATTGATTCCCATTTTAGGCTATAAAACTTAAAATAGTTTTAAACTTAGATATGGATTTTCATTTTATAATTCACGTTGCCATCCCTTCCACATAATCTACATCTTTTAGTTATATATGGTACTTTGACATGTTTTCAGCTGGATTTGACAGTGTATAAAACACCCGGTTCTAATTTTAGACATTGAAGAGCACTTCCGTTACTATTTTTAGTAACGGAAAACCCCTCTTTCATTAGCAACCGACTTAAGAATTTTCTTAAGTGAAATATTTATTACTTAAGATATTTCTCAATCTTAAGAATAATCTCAGCTAAGTTTTTCTTAAGTCATTTTCAGAATACGACTTAATCTTAAGATAAAAAATTTTCTTAGCTAAGATTTTTTTTTCAACTTATGTTTTAACTTAAGAAATAACTTAAGATCAGTTGTGAATACGGCCCCTGACAATAATAAACGTTTTAATACATGTTAAAGATTTTCATGAAATTAGCATGAATCTACAGGCATACATGCTGCTTTGATATGAAATGATAGAAAAAAACAAATGGAAATAAAGAAAGTTCTAGCTGTATCCGAAATATAAAATGAAAAGAAGGAAAGGAAAGAACGAGAGAAGAAGAAAAAATGTTGTCTCATCAATCATGAAATGAAATTATAGTTAGGGAGACAATATTCTTTAGTGTGTTCTATAAAGTAAATATGACTGGGCATAGAAAGGTTTGGTCACCGTTCAAAAGAAAATAAAGTTGTTCAATTTCAGTAGAGGACATCATATGTATGCACTTAAGAACAACAAAGTAATTTTTGGTGTTCATGTTACCACAATGAATTGTTTTTCAGCAAATAAGATGATAATAAAGTTAAGCTTTGAGCCGTGTGTGAGTACTATGGTTTTAGACATGTGCAGGTACTTTTAGGTTATCCACTTACTTCTAAGATTTGATGTCGGAGCTTTGTCTCTTTTTTAAAATTGAATGCCATTGTATGGGAGTTACAAAACAAGTGAACGATTGTGATTAAGGTTGACTGAGGGAAAGAAAGAAAGAGGGCTTACAAACAAGTTCTTTAGAGTGTACATATGATGTCTAGGTAATGTTATTATTTACATAGATATATTAATTATCATGACCGACTTATCAAAAGGCCTCTTTATTTGGTCACATGCAAAATCTTAACAAGATAAGACAAGTTTATTCGGCAAAAAACAAAAAACCTGAACAAGTTCTTCAGATAACATAGCGTTTCAACAAGATAGCAAAGTGTCTAATAACTACAATAATATAGTTGTCATGAAAGTTATAAAAAATATGTTTATATGTGTTTGTCAAGTTTCATCAGGCAGAATCTAGACAAATAACGACATGTACACTAAAAAGTGTCAGAGACACTGCATGTTAATAGTAAGCATCTAGTACATTAATAAGTGCCAGGGACATCGTAAAAAGTAAGCATACACTAAAAAGTGTCAGAGACACTGTTAATAGTAAGCATCTAGTACATTAATAAGTGTCAAGGACACCGTAAATAGTAAGCATCTTGTACATTAAAAAGTGTCAGAGACACTGTTAATAGTAAGCATCTAGTACATTAATAAGTGTCAAGGACGCCGTAAATAGTGAGCATCTTGTACACTAAAAAGTGTCAGAGACACTGTTAATAGTAAGCATCTAGTACATTAATAGGTGTCGGGGACACCGTAAAAAGTAAGCATCTTGTACACTAAAAATTGTCAGAGACACTGTTAATAGTAAGCATCTAGTACATTAATAAGTGTCAGAGACATCGTAAAAAGTAAGCATCATGTACACTAAAAAGTGTCAGAGACACTGTTAATAGTAAGCATCTAGTACATTAATAAGTAAATAGTAAGCATCTTGTACACTAAAAAGTGTCAGAGACACTGTTAATAGTTAGCATCTAGTACATTAATAAGTGTCAGGGACACCGTAAATAGTAAGCATCTTGTACCCTAAAAAGTGTCAGAGACACTGTTAATAGCAAGCATCTAGTACATTAATAAGTGTCAAGGACACCGTAAATAGTAAGCATCTTGTACACTAAAATTGTCAGAGACACTGTTAATAGTAAGCATCTAGTACATTTATAAGTGTCAAGGACACCGTAAATAGTAAGCATCTTGTACACTAAAAATTGTCAGAGACACTGTTAATAGTAAGCATCTAGTACATTAATAAGTGTCAGGGACACCGTAAAAAGTAAGCATACACTAAAAAGTGTCAGAGACACTGTTAATAGTAAGCATCTAATACACTTATATAAGTGTCAAAGACACCTTGATTTCAAAGCATTTAGAACATAGGCAAGTGTCAGTAACATATATATATATCTAGTTCAGTAAATTAAAGTCTTAAGGACACAATAACTAAAAAGCATCTAGTATACTAGTACTTGTGAATCTCATTCACACGCCAATTTTAAATACTAATCACGACTACTTCCTATTAGTTTCCTATTTGTGACGGAAAATCTCATAAATTTTTTTGTAAAATTTTAGGTCAATCATTGTTTTCGGCAAAAATCTACTACATCCATTGGTCTGTCTAAATTTTTTATATATAGGTTGATATATGGCACGGACTTTAGCTAACCATTAATTGGTTGGTATATGGCACGAATTTATAACCATTTATTGGTTGATATATGGCATGAACGTATGCTAACCATCGATTAGCTGGTAATATGGCAGAAAAATATATTAACCATTAAATTAGTTGGTAATGTGACAGAAGCATTATTTATTATATACTTATAAGTGAAATATTGAGAAATATTGATGAAATAAAATACGTATTTTCATTTTCCGTATTTTCACTGTAAAAATTTATTTTTCACTGCAGTGAAACATATTTTCCGTATTTTCACTGGTGTCTTGCCGGACTACTTTCTTTTAAATTTACCAGTACACAAAATTTAAGGGAAAGTCTTTCAAATTTTAATGTCAAAAAAGAGAAAAATGTATATAATAAACAGAAAATTCAAGTTTTTTCTTTAAATACACAATTTATTTTCATCTTGTGGCATGAAAATTACTTTATTTATTTTCATACCACTCGATGAAATAAATAATGTATTTATAGAAAAAACTTGAATATCCTCTATATGTTTTGGTTGTAAGGCCGAAAAATAAGCTAACTATCAAATTATAATAATACGGCACGAAAATATAATAATTCTTAAATTCATGTATCACGAAATGTTTAAAACAAGTATCTTTTTCCTTTGTTTTTTAAATGTAAACGGTACTTAGTATATCTACCCTGTTACAAGTACAAGTAAAGTTTTTCAATTTATCTATTTCTTTGATATGAACTGCGCATTTAAAACATTACATACTTTCCCCGTTGTCAAATGGACTGTTTGAAAGAGAGAACAGTATTTATGTATATTTATATGGATACATTTTTGTCTGATGGGTAATACAATAGAAATTGACATGATACATATTAATTAATGTATAAGCACTAGCAACACACACTTAATCAACGATACAGCTTTTGCTTCAAATGGTTTGTTTTAATTTTTATTTTCCCTGATAAATGCTATCTATATACTATTTTCTTTCATTTTTCAACGCTCTAATCTGATTTCGTTGTAACTTCATCAGAAGCTAAAGTCTTCTTCTGTATGGTTGTCTTCTTTACACTCCTGGATATGGTGGTGGAGGTGCTACAAAAAAATGTATAGATATAATCGACCATTTCACACACGAGTGTGGAAAGTTATTGTTGCCATTTTTGTCAGAAATATTTTAACCTAGGAGATTCTCTGTTTGAACTGAACGATTTAAAAATATATATCTAGTACTTAAAGAGACATAGCCTCATGGTGACCACCTTATAGTCCTTAATAAATGATAATACAGATAGAAGCTATCAAACAATTTCATGACTAAAACAGTCACTATTTGAAGTATTATAAAAATTACGATGGCAGCAATGTTATCTAGGCACAAAACAAAATTGATTGATGCTTGCAGGCTGAGTCAGTTATATGTATGTTTACAGAATACACCTAATAAACATATTAATTGTGACAGCTATTTTATTTGAATAAGTTCTTCTGTTTTTATAAACGTGAAAAAGTATTGGGCCAATTTTAATAAACAATTTGAACTTTGGTGATAACTCTTGAAAATGATAAAGAATTGTGTTATAATAATGAATTTATATATAGACTTTACACTACAATAACTGGAATTATTATTGAACTTAATAATTGATTCTAAATTTGACCAGTTCATGTTCTGCTTGGGCCGGTGCTAGGGGGCGTGGACGGTGGTTTGCGCTTGGCGGTGTCGTCTGTGAACGGGCTCAGTTGGACCAAGACTGCGGCATTTTCAATTTTGCACTGTTGGGCTTTCTTAAGGGATTCTTATTTCTCTCTGTTTTCCTACTCTATTGAATGAATATAACAAGAAAGAACGAAGTACCTGTTGGTGTTACATTGTTCTCTGGATAAGAAGGTACCGCCAGTTGTTCTCCTTTATATTTATATATATCTTCATGTTTCTCAACTTCTTCGTACGACGGTGGGCCTTGAGATTCCGGTTCTTCAAGGTGGGATCTTGATGGGTTGGCACTTTCTCTTGCACTATCGGTTATCAGACTGGTGTTGGTGTCTGCATTTCGGCTTTCAGGACGATACTGTATTTGAACAGCTAAAAGAACAGTTAACAACTTACTCCACAAATTGATAAAGAAACGCCTGTAAGTGTATGGAGGTTTTTTCGAGTTTGATGAACTCGATTCCATTTCAGAAACATATGTCCAAGTATGTCCAATGAAATATATGGTAAACAAGATCAACAAGGAAAGGCGCGTTCAATGAACGCAACCAACAAAACATCCATCAACAAGAACCAGCTGCAATAAGCCCAGGAAGACCCAAAACAAAAACTGGACAGGGCGCAAGGAAAAACACGGGCAACCTAATTGTAAATAATAAATTAAGAAATGTACACAGTCTATATTAACTTTGCAATGTGGAAAAAAACAAGTTTAACTAAATATGAAAGGAATGTTAATGGTTAACATATTTTAATAGTTACGGGACAAAGAGTATTCAACAGTTTGGTAAACATATTGGTCGATTATCAATAAAACCATATCACGTTTCCTTCTGAGTAGAGCTTTATCTAATATCAACGCTATTTCTGGTCACTTTTTGGCACTTTAATGCTCTAAAATGGAATAACTATATATACTCATGATCTTTGAAATATGGGAAAATCACTTACGTGTGTCATTCTGGGTAGAGCCTGTAGGTTTTTTGTAAAATATGAGAACACAGCAAACGACGAAGAGGAGTACACCGACAATCACACCAATAATAATACCGATTATTGCACTATTTCCTTTATGAGACTTTCCATAGCTGTCGTTGTCAGATGTCCAAGATGACCATGATGACTGTCCAGACCACGATGACCAGGATGACCAGGAAGGTCGCCTCGTAGTAGTAGTCGTTTCTGAATTGAAGCAATACGATTGCATGATTATATAATTATAAATTACGTACTACTGTACTTTCGAATGTATTTTTATAACCATTGCAATATTCACATATTCGTGAACAGAGACAAAATATCAAACGACAAAAAATTTTTTAACAAGGCAGCTACCAAACATTAGGAAAATCTTTTCCCACGGTATTAATGATCAGTTTTTATACAAAAATAAGATGAACAGAACCCTTTTTACTTGACTGCTACTTTTATGTAATACATGCTTCTATGTTGGAAAATAATACAATTGTAATATACATTCAAGATAATCGTATTTAAAAGAGAATTTAAGAAACGTTGATGGTACATTTTATGATTATTAGAAAAGAGACATACAAACAAATAATTATATCGAGATATACTGTACAATATAATAAATTTGGACTTACGTTTAACCGTTTTTGAAAACAACGTAACACTTATAGTTACATTACTAAATAGGTAATTGTCTGAATAAGCCAGAGAAACTCGTCTAGTCCCCTTACACAGGGGTTTTCTGTTAAAATCGTTGCAAGAATACTGCTGAAATAAGAACAGAAAAAAATCTTTATGACTGTTGTCGACTGAATGTCGTCTGGTGTATCCCATGTGAGGAATAATTCAAGTATTTTTTAGGTAAATTTGGCGTTAGTTTCGATGGTGTTCATATTACGGAAAGCAAGCTTGGTACTGGTGGGTATTTACATCAAAACCAATTTGTTTAGTGCATTTGTTTAAACTTCGGATTTTGACAGTGTTATTCGGAAGGAAGAAATGCTATTCAGAAAGCAATCTAAGAACAAGGGACACAACAAGCGCTCCTATAATTAACAGTAAACAAGAACACAATGGGACACCGCCTGAGAGCAGACAGCGCTGAAGACTTCAACCAAGTTAATGGTGCAACAATCTTTACACTTAACACGCTCATGTTTATTCAAAATTCTAAGACAAGTCCCACAATATTCTAAGAAATGAACAAATGGGGTATTTCGTGCGATGGTACATACTCACCTCACCATACGAACTATATCCTCCAATATGATAGGAGAGAGACCACTTACAGATTATATCTATAAAATGTGTTCTATCACTTGTGATACAAATCATTTCATCAGAACTATTGGTAGTAAATTCAATAATGCAGAATCCTGTCATATTCACAAAGTCCGAATCTGCATAGTTTATTGTAACTCTGTTCTCATAAGAAAGGTCAATAGACCGTTCACAGTCATCCCGTGTCACTTGCATTATTAAATCTAAAACAAAAGGAAAACAATTGAGAAAAATGTATACCATTCTAATATAATGAACAGATATTGTGCTGTTGTTTTAGATAGACATTTATACCAATTTTCATTCCGATAATTATATGATAAAAAATATGTAGGATGATGTAAGGTATAATAGTTAACTATGTTTGGGGTCCCAAAACAGTAAGTGTGCTCACTTAATTTTTTTTTATAATTCAATGTATGCATTTTAAAAAGTCAGAAAATGCTTTTTCAAACTCGGATATGCCATATCAAACTTAACGCTTTCAATACGGTGATTATAAGTTACGTTATGTCTTCTATAAAACTGCACAGTAATCAGAGCATGCAGTGAACTATCTGCACTAAAACACATTTAAATTTTGGTATGTGTTAAACAATATTTGTTTCAGAAGCGACCCAACATGTTTTGGTAGCAGATATATAAATAACATTGTACCCTTATTTTTAAATAGATGTTATGAAAAAAGGTATTTTATAATGAGTTAACGTTAACCTTTTACTTCTTTCAAAACATAGAGGTAACGTATACTTTAGTGTACATAGTTCACCACATATTTGTACCGGATTTAATTACACCACATATTTAAACTGGATTTAAAAAAAACACCACATAATTAACATAGTTATCATAACCATATATCATGTCTTTAAGTTATATCCCAAGCACTTACTTCTAGGTACGCCTCTGCTATTATATCGATTAATGCAAGTAAATTGTCTAATGTAAAAAAAATGGCCATGTAAAACTATGTTTAAAAAGTACAAACTATTTAAATGTAAAATATATATAATACCTGCATAGATAAGCCTTGTTGCCATCATAACAATGAACATGTGTATATCCATCTTTAATAATATCTCTTCCGAGTTAACATAATTAACTTTGAGATCACTGTTGTCACTACTGTACGGTATATAACAATATTGAACGTATACATAATTGTAGAGGTACTATAGTATTTAAAAAAATCTAAGCTAGTTAAACATTAATCACTAGTCTTGCAAAAAGTAATCCGTAATATCTTGGAACTTTTGATGTTTTAAAATCTGATGATCCCAATTCTTAATTAAATGAATACGATAATGCGATGTATATTATTTTTACTACACTACGGGTTTTTGACCTGATAATTGGCATGCTTCAACTTTGTTGTTTTCTGTAGAGATGTCTGCGTTTTTCTATTATTTTACTGTTTTGCTTTATTTAAATTTTAGTTTATATATTTATTTAGATCTACTTATATTTTTGTCGGGAGCTCTATGTCAATAAGCTTACACGTATCAAGGTTTCTAAAATATACACCCTTGAATGATTTTAAAATGTGACAATAAAATTTATAAAAAATGACAACAACGACACCGACACTTTAAAATGGAAAAGCGCATGTACTTAAAATTTTAATGCATCCATTTATATTAAACATGAAGTCAAATATTTTATATGATTACAAACGGTGCTAACAACATAGTCTGTAAGCATTTCCTGTTGTTTTTTTTTTTTTGTTGTTTGTTTGTTTGTTTGTTTTTTTGTCTCAAAATCATTTCCAATTTGGTTTTGGCATTTTTTTGCATTTCATTTATCAATGTGTCTCGAATGGTTGCTTAAAAAGCAGGTATATATAATGTGAACGGAGAGTGCCGTATGATGTACTTTATTTCTGTAATGACTAATTAGAGCAGTATACAAACAGTGAGAAAGTTAATTCGTTGCTTCAATATTTAATCAGAAAAACCTTGAGACTCTCAAGTTGTTAACCTCTTCTATTACCTGTTAGTTCTTTAGAAAAAGGACAGCAGGGGTATTACACATTGAATCCTCTGACCATACAACTTTACATAGCGAGTACAGGTAGGTGGAAGAAATATAACCCCAGCCTCTGTTTGGCTCACGTAAGGTTAGGTATAGTCATATACTTAAAAGAAGTTGATACTAAGATCTTGAAAACCCGGAACATTATAGAATGTAACACATTGAAACATAAAACTGTCCATCACAAATAATCATATGATATCCAGAAGATTTATTTTATCAACTTCAATATGGAAGAACTCGGAATAAAAAATGAGAACAAAGAAGATCAACAAGGCAAGGGGACGTTCACAGATCGCAGCCCCGGCAGTTTATTTAGGGAAACCCGTTAAATTAGCTTTACTATTGTGTAACATGTTGTAACAACAGTCATATTTGCACCGATAATAATACTAGTTCGGCTGCAAAAATTAGTTATCAAAATACTCTCTTGACAAAATTAACAATACCGGTTATGAAATCGAATTAAAGAACTGCATTCGTTATTAAGGTGCATATCTGGACGAAAATCTCAATTTCAAAGACCATGTTAAACGCAATTGCCGTTGTGATATGTTCAACTACTTGAAAATAAAAATCATCAGAAAATATCTCATCAAAGAAGTCACCGACATATTAGTCTTGTCTCTCGTCATCTCTCATTTAGATCAGCGTGCTTCACTGATGATATACGGCACATTTTCTAAATAAGGAAATACGAGTAATTGAATTAAGATCACATTCACTTTGACCTTAAAATGGGTTAGGCAGGCAAAACTTATAATTATATATGTATGTAAAGTTTCAAAGTCATAACTGAAGCTACTGATTCGTACTGACTATTAACAAAAACATATTTGAAAAATAAGTTCATCTTGACCTTTACTTTTGATAAAAAATAAGCATGGCCATTAGGACACATCAAAATTAATCTACTCACAAAGTTTGAAAAAAAGTCAAATAGCCGGGTTTTATTAAAAAGTGTATGCTTTGTTATGACAGAACTCAGTGGCCTTTGATTTGTTGACTTGAAAATATGCTACTTTGGTTCCATATATTAAAAAATTGCTATCAAATAATGTAAAATCAACTAATATACTGCTACTTTGGTTCCAAACATTAATAAAATCGTTTCATATCTTGTAAAAATGAATTAATATATTGATAATTCGGTTTCATATAAGAACATCAGGTTCCATTAATGGCTACTTTGGTACCATATAATGGCTATTTTTGTTCTATAATAATAAAAATATCATATAATGTGATAATCAACTGATATATTACTACTTTGGTTCCATACATTGATTAAATGATTTCTTACATTGTAAAAATGAATTAATATATTGATAATTCAGTTTCATATATGGACATCTGGTTCAATGCATACTTTGGTACCATATATCGAAGAATTGGTAACATATAATGTGAAATCAACATAATTATAATTATATTCATATTTCGGTTTCATATATTGATGACATGATTTTATATATTGAAAAACAAATTAATATATTGATAATTCGGATTTATATATCGATTACTGACTCCATATATGGCTACTATAATGGTTTCCGGTTTAATAAGAAGGTGTTTTTAATTCAAATAATGTCGAAGTGAAGTTATATATTATCCAAATGGTTAAATCTATTGAAAAATAACAATATGAGACAGCCATGGCTTTCCAAAGAAAGCATTATATATGTACATGTATAATGCACACAATTTATCGGCAACAACGTTGTGAAAAATGTACTGTCATATATTTCACAAATAAATAATTGACATCAGTTATGAACATTAAGGATGATTATATTTCGTTACAAATAGAGCTCCATGTGAATGTTTGGCCATTTAAACTGTGTTCACTTAAAGGTCGCATGCATGCCAACAATCATATCTTTTCATATTATAGTTTAACAACAGGTGATTATCACAGTCATGTGAATATTTATTCTCATTTTACGCAATAATAAATCAAACACGATTAAATTATGGATATTGCTATATAACTATAATTATTGTTTTACCTTACAAGAGCAGATTACTCCTCCGAGCTTATTATTTATCAAGTTTAATCATAGTGTAAGTATACGCATGCGTCGTATATATTGTTATTACTTCTTCTTTCGTTTTTAAAATATATGTAAAATGTATCATAATGGGGGGACACGGGGATGTAGAGCGTGGTAATGCTCCTGGTGGTCCTGGCAGATGTAAGTACCTACCACTGCGTAAATTTGGACATTTAGGTACAACGCTTTATATATAATTCAATACCATGCATTTTAAATATATGTACTTTGTAATTTTTAATGTAACTTTCTGTTTCGATCTTATTGTTCGCGATATAACGTATCTATCTTATTGTAGCTTTACCGAAATGTTTTTATTAAATCACCACTATTTATAATTGTCACAATTCTTATGTAAAGGAGGAAGTTTGTGATGATAAAATATTTTTATGACAGAACCATAGCAGAAGTTATTAAAAAAACAAACAAAAAACAACAACAACAACAAAAAAACAAACACAATTGTATTGTCTTTTATTACGATTTTTAAAGTAATTTGAGAAATAGCGATACAACTTCTCTAGTTAGCATATTACTGTAACATTAACATAATTTAATTATTGTTGGAAACTCGCATTGTCTATATATACTTAAAATAGACTCTTAATTTTCAGCTTTTTCTCCTGTGAAACATTTTATATGGATGGCGTTTCACATTCGTTCATTAACGAGAGTTTTTGATCTGGGCATCAGCACTGTATTTCGATTTAGCCTCTACATTTATTGGTTTGTTGGTTTATTTTATTTACTTTTCTTTACTGTCTAAAACATTGAATGGAATGTGTTACTGGAAAATAAGTAAATAAACCGAAGAAAAAAAGACATAAATAATATGCTTGCAGTATACATTGCATCAGTTAAACGATTCAAGTGTTACAAATTCTATCACATTTGATAAGACATAAAAGAATAATTGCAGATATACCATTGCATGAAACAGGGAGTAACAATAACATTCTAGAATATCAGGGGTTTATTCGGGTTAACAAGTTTCAAACATTTAATGAAATGTATCTCTATAGATATACGTACGTAAGTTATATATCTTGTAATGAAAGTTATATATCTTGTAATGATCTGTTTGTGTCGTTAAGCTAGAGAGGCCTCAGACGAACACACTATATATTATGCCATTGTTACTTACGTTTATACGTTACAATATTTTATTGTAAGGTTCGTGGCAGGACGATATCCTACTTTTATAGAAGAGGATATTCGAAGACAGATATTAAATGAAGCAGCGAAGTATGAAAGTGAAAATGTTAAACGACTTGAGAAAGAAAACAAGACATTAGCGATTGAAAAAGACGATGCTCTCAGACGGTATGATTTATTTCTCTGTCAGTATCGCACATCTGAGGAAGCTATGTTCTAGTCTGGCTGTGGCATTTGTGTTTCTCTATATTAGACATTGATAAGCTGTACAAAATTGTGATTTGTAGTTCGGACTGGCACACATGAAGCAGCCATTAAAAAGATTTGAAAGTCATCTGTCACGAAACATGAATCAAATGATGGAGTTCATTTTTCATAATAAAAAAAAATGCTTACTTATTACTTATACATCAAGCAAATATATCATTGATAAATTTGTTTTTATCTCATATGATGTTCATACTATCTTCGTAACTGATTATTTAGATTGAGTGAAGTTGTTTCCGTGCGACTACGAGACAACAACCCTAATATAGCTGATTTGAATGACCAATGTCGACCTACAAAACTGGCAGAAATGTTTAGCGAGCTGTATGACAACGAATGGACATGTGCCTATGCTACTATTGAAAAAGAACTTGATGAAACAAAAACTATAAGACTTCTTCTAAATATAATGATGGTAAATATGCATACTTATATGATTAAATAATGAGTGTTTGTTCAAATTGCAAGATTTATAAAAAAAAAATAACCAGTCAATTTAATGTCAATGCGTTTTAATGATAAAGATGATAAGCGTGATTAGTATGTGTAATCAACTATTATATAGTTTATTCATGTTATGTTTAATGATTGAAATCAATATATAAAACTTATTCAATACATAGTTAAAACATAATGTCATTAATTAATTATCCAGCGATACAATTGTCAATATTCTTAATCTGTCAACTTAATTTATTTAATGTAATAAATTGCTTTTTATGTAGCAAGCGTATGGTTTTTGCGAAGAAACAGTTGCTGACCCATGGAATGTTGTTACGAAGTGGTTTCTCGACATGGTATTAATTTTATTCATATGATATATTTTTCTTTTCAAAATAATGAAAGTATGGGTATAAATTTTGTAATTTTGGTGTTTCAGTCAGTTCTTACTTACTACAGAACAAAAGTAAAAAATAAATTTAAGCTTCACGATGTAAGAAGAAATGGAGATTGTTTCATTTTTTGTTGTAAAATTTGTTGTTTCAAGATTTTAAATATATTCAATCTTTATTTTGTCTTATTAGAATCTACCAGGAGCACAACAGACATCCAAATGGCTAAAGGACAGTCGTAAAGCTAATATTAGAAACAAACTTCATGAAGTTAGAGATGTGAGTATTTATACTGTACTTATTTTCATCTGTAACTCGGCATGTTTTACTAAAGTTGCCAAATTTAAACGAGCGTCGTTACTCAGTCCAAAACATGCCGCGACTTATTTCTTTTATTTAGAAAAAAATACATGTACAAGAAAAAACAATGTGATCAAAATCACATGCGGTTGCCATATGTATAAAAATACCTTTGTACACGTATAAGAAACGTAAATAAGAAATAAGCACAAACGTGTGTATGATGTTTGGTACAATTTCTGTTTGTTAGTAAACTAATTGTTTTGTTATTTCTTTTAAGGATTTCAAGAAAGAAGTATTCAAGACGTTTAAAGAGAATAAAATCATTGATCTACTTGAAAAAGATGAAGTTGACAAATACCTTGAGAAATGTGTGGAAGTAAGTTTGTTAATGGTTACTACAGATCCACCAGTAGTGGTTCTGTGTCCTGAATTAGAAGAAAATGATCGAGATATATCGCACATCGAAGAATGTCAACCATTTATGGGCAAAGCCATTGATAGTAGCAGCGATGAAAAAGATAGAGATGATAAAGAAGAAAACAATACAGAAACTATTGCACCCATTGAACATCAGAAAAAGAAAACAGATTTCGATAAAAACCTATTTAAAGAATACACATTTCGGGGAAACTACTTTGATTTCATTGTATGGCCTGCATTGTTATTGCATAAGGATGGACCTCTGTTGAGTAAGGGAATTGCACAAGGGATGAATAACATCAAAATATGCCAGACAGATGAATCAAAAGTTGAAGCAAAATAATGAATATAATCTATGATAATGAACAAAGTTACTTTGCTTTAATCAAAAACAATAAAAACTGTGTGTCTGAAATATTTTGTTCGACATGTTAAAACTAGGAAATAAAGATTGTATGATCAGTTTTCGTTACTTCAGTTTTAATAAATACATCTCTTATGTAACAACAATATATTCAAAATACTACATAGCATACATTGTTCCATTTGACTGGTTTAAAAGATAATGATACAGGTTAAGAATCACATAAAAAGAATAACATAAATTCTGTTGCTGATCAAACCTAGGTTTTCTAAAAACTGTTATGAAAATTTTAAAGTTCAACTTGAGGAGAAGAAGAAAAAGAGGCAATTGCAGTGAGTCTTGAGAGTAAATGCCTTCTCAAATTAGATTTCAAAAAGCAGATCAGCACGTACCACACACAAAAGTTGGAAATTAAACATCATAGATATACCACAAATTGTAACTTATAACATTTGTTTTAACAATAGATTAAAAATCACAGATTTTAAGCAAGATTTTTTTTTTGAAATAATATATTAACTTTATTGCTATTCTTGAAATACAATAAAAATGAGAAGAAACAAGAAATATCTTTAAAAAAAGATACTCGGCCAAAAAAACTTGTTTAGAACTGTCCTTATATATTTTATTTTAGTATGGTCAATGAGATTCCCATATTTCATTTTATAATTTTAAAATGGCCAATGAAAACTCTTCTTATACCATAAAGTTTACAGAAAGTCAACTGAAAACAGAAAAAAAACATCATATGTATACAACCCCAAAGTGTTATCTCCAATCGGGTCTGTTGAACCTACTTAATTGTTTGTTTGTGTGTTTGTTTTGGGTTTAACGTCACATCGACACAGTATAGGTCATATCGCGACGTTCCAACTTTACTGATGGAGGAAGACCTCATGTGCCCTTCCGTGCATTATTTCAGACACGAACGGGCACCTGAGTAGAACCATCGACGTTCCGTAAGCTAGGTGGATAGCTTCCTCACATGAAAGAATCCAAAGTCCCTGTCGGGATTCGAACCCACAGCGGTGACGGGCAAGTGATTTGAAGTCAACGACCTTAACCACTCGGCGAACCTACTTAATTACACATATCAATATACCAAAAAGATAAAAAAGAAACAAACAAAAAAGACAAAAAAAAACGAGAAAAAAAAAAACATAGATAAGAACAGTGTATAGACCATTTGCATGCGTAGTATAAATGTTACCGTAACACCGGTTGTTTGCCATCTTGGGGAGTAACATGTATACGAAAATATTGAGAAGAAAGTAATATATAATAATAATCGACGTGTTATGGCAAATGAAGACTTATTGACGTAAAATATGTCAATTAAACCACCAGTTACATCAACAGCAAAATTGAATGTTTGGGTTACAGCAGAGTCAAATGGGAAAAATTCTTGCTTCATATTGTGACAGCATGCAAGTGTTTGTGACGTTCACATGTAGCCTCCATTCTATTTGCTATTGAAGTGACTGTTTGTGTGCGTGACTCTCAAACTGTCACACAGGAGCCAGCTTACCGTTCAGTACGACATTATTGTTGTGCTTGTGGTAATTTAGTTCCTTCTTTTTGTTAGGTGGTTCCAGTATTAATCACTTGAATACTGTTAAAACACCCCTAGGGTATGTGGCCTTCTTTTTAAATTTGTCTTTTGACGTCTTATCTGTGATATGCAGGCTTCATAACCTCTGATTCCCTTTCAAAATTCTATTTTATTTAGTTCTGCCCATTGTTTTCTCGTTTAGGGCACACGCATTTTTTTATTTTGGGACCATATGCGTGTCATATTGAAAGTTCCATGATAACCGCCATATGAACACATCTGTGGATGTTTCAAAATTCAAAATTCTACCAGTTCATGTTTAATGTTGAATTCTGCTTAAGCCGGTGCTAGAGGGCGTGGACAGTAACTTGCACTTTCCAGTACCGTCCATGAACAGGGTCAATCAAACCGAGCCTGCAATATTTCAAATTTTGCCGTGTTGGGCTTTTTTTTAGGGATTCTTATTTTCTCTATTTTACCGGCTACTTCCGACATCAGAAAAGAATATTAATTATTCGGGGTAAACAATACACCCGTCTTGATAAATATGTCTTAATGACGAACAATTATTTCAGTTATACATTGTCTTAAACGAGGAAGAATTGGTCAACAGGAATCTGTTCGGTTTTTCTGTTAAAAAATTCTCTGTAATAAGTAATCAAACGAATTTTGCTGAAAGATACAATGTACTTTAATTTGATAGTTAAATTTGCTGTGTTTAGAGGATGCCGTATTGTCCGGTATAAAATGAGACATAAAAAGAATTGGATTTGATGTAAAGAACAAAGTTTGAAAACATAGATTCCAGCGAATTCTCAGCGTATCAATAATGGTGTATTACATTGCCGTTACCTTTTCCCTCTGAGACTGTCATTTCGTGGTTCTATGAATTAAATGACTTGGTTTTTCAAGCATTAAATGTACTCCACAGACAAAGGTCTATATGATTAAATAATAAAATTTGAAAATCTTCCATAAATCATCTGGTTCAAATAAAATTTGAAAACTATGCAACAGAGAATATAAAAATATAATTGGTAATTAATTTGATAATCGAGTTTTATGCAATTTTTGTGCCGATATGAGTGAAAAACGTTGTAACGTATTTCATTTTTGTGTCAATCTGCACAATAAAGTTGATTTTTCCTAGGGAACGGAGTGAATTTCGTACACGAGTTACTGAAACAGACCCATATCCACATATACATAAAAGAACAACAAATAATTAAAAGCTATTTTCGATTCGTTCATGCCAAAAAAAAAACAACAGTGGAGTCCTTTAAAAATGCAGTATTGATATATTCGTTCAAATAATTATGTTATCTACCGATAGCCATACTAAACTTCCCAGCAGATTTACTCATTTGCATAAAACCTATGATATTTATATTAAAATATGGCATATCATCTCCTCTCAAGATTAACCAAGTTAACCGGCGTTTAAGGTTTGCTTACTAGTAGGTTCAGCCTGGCGTACACTGAACATACACTTCATTTTCTGTCATTGAAAATATAAAACCTGTTTGCACGTAAATGTCAGCTTATTGCATAAAAGGAATCGATCCCGGCTGATTAATCTGTATACCCCTTGTCCAATCAAACCCCACTTGCGAGCAAGAAAAACGCGAAAAAGTCAACGATTTAAAAATGAAAATTGATAAATTAGTCCAATAAAGACCAATCATGGAGGAATTGTTACTTTTATAATTAGGAGTTACATATAAGAGATCATTTATGGCTAAGCCGTACGGCAAAACCTATATTTTCCGTAAAAAAAATACGATTAAATTAAACTTGTGTACGGTTGCTTGAGTGTCAACTTTTTTTTATAATTCCTTGACATTTTATTTGTTTTAGCTATTTTTATTAATAGATCTAAAATAACATATAAACGGCGTTTTTACATGTCAATTTTTTGTAAATGAGAAAATACACCAATATTGTACAGCTAATTGATGTAATGATTTGCATGCATTAAAGAACTGTTGAAATGTCTTTATTTGCAAGAATTCTGAGTGTGTGTTTTGTATGTATGTATGTATATATATATGTATGTATGTATGTATGTATGTTTGTTAGGTTGTTAGTTTGTTAGTTTGTTTGTTTGTTTTTGTTGTTTTTTACTGCCCACAATGTTAACATAATGTGCATTAAGAAGCGTCGTTTGTGCTTGAAAACCATAGTCAAGTAGTTCAATGCTTAGAACTGACACGATAATCTGTGTATTCTGTTTACTTTTTACATGTGACATATATACGTATTTATCATATATCGCAGTGCATCGCTGAAGGTTTATTCCGAAACGTAGGTAAATGAACTGGCATTTATCAAATATATATCAAAAGTGTGTCTCAATGACTGATGTCACAATGATAATGAGTTAAATTGTAAAGAAAATAATTAATTGATTGTTTTATTTATGTCTCATCAATGTACATTGTCTAACATATATATGCAATGCAATATTGCCCTTCTGATCCAAATTGATGGCTTGGTTACATATTTAAATCAGACATGCATACTTACATCATTTATCTACATGCAAACATTAAAATATGAGTTATTTTCTTCATTATTGAAATTCAATATTATAACAGAAAGCTCAAATAAATGAACTTAACGAGTTATCAAATAAGAATCTACATGTAGCAAAACTTAATAAAAGTATATTATTTTAAGCATTTTAGACTAACATGATAGTAGGAAATGTGAATATGAAAGTAATACCTGGAAGAGTTAACGTCAACTTTAGAAAATCAAACTTCTTCTTGATATAATCCTGTTAGTCGCTCCTGCCATCTATGCAAAATTGAATTTACACATAAAACTGCTAAATATTGCTAAAACTGTCTTGCACTGATTCAGAGGAAAAGTCATTCAACATCTTTTCCGATTACGTATGAGGAAAATGTTTTGCTACGATTTTGAATATGTGCATTTTGTACAGGTTCTATAAAATATACGACACACGTTTACCAAAATTATAACTATTTTAAAGGATCTAGACGCATTGTTGAAAAAATATCTTTAATATGGAATATTATTTATTTGAAAATAGAAATAATAATTGTTTACAAATGGTCTTTCAAACAAGTCGTCTAGTGAACAGAAATGCAAACTATATTTCACGCAACCGTGGAACAGTGGCCTCGCAAGCAACCGGAAGACTTGTATTGAAAACCTCAACGGTGGCAATTACAGTTTCAATATTTTTTTTTTAACGAATATGTTTTCTTTAAATATTCCCTCAGTTCTTTTAAGATTCAAGAGTGTTTGCAGAATATTAGATGTTAATCTTCGAAATTGTCTTAAAGTAGGAAATTTTGAGAAATCGAGGTGAGAAATGACAATGTTTTAAAAATAGAAATTTCTTCACTGATCGATCACAACTGAAATATATTACCTATATTTCAGTCTAAATCCTCGTTTTGCTGAGTAAAACTCGCTCGCAAGCGGAGGTTATAGCATGCACTAGAGTGTACACTTTGTGTACGGCAAAACTCAATTGTTGGTCCATGAATTACATCCCTATAATATCTATACAACACTGCAAACATTCCGATTGGAACATCCTCGGCTATTATTTATAATGACCTCTAGTTCAATCACGTGGTTTCAGATGTAAACAGAAACAGAGAGTGCTACCGTTGATGGGTAACACAAATGTACATATTCTGTTTCGGTACAATTATGATTAAAACTATGTCTGACAACCATCTTTTCATTTAAATATACCCACTGATGTACAATTATAACAAATCCGACTTAATGTCGTCAGGTTGGCATTTTTGTACTTTCGGTTTATACAACCATAATAGTAAGTATATAGAAAATGTACAATTTACATTAATATCTATGATTTTACTTATTTTAGGCGGACTTATACTTGATATATTGGATAAAACTTGTGTCAACAACTCCAAGCAATTTTACATGTCGTAGGTAATCGAGGTCCTTTTCCGAAGACTGACGGAAAGGGCCGAAAAGGTGCGATTGCAAACATTCGCCGCTTATCATATGCATTTATTTGTTAATTTACAGTGCAGTGCGTATGAAGTCTATTTTATTCTTTTAAACTATGATGTATAATAGTGTACGAATTGATTACTTACGTTTATTGTGATATATTTAATTACACACCTGTGTTTATATTCCATATTGAAATTTATTGGTTTATATTTAAAAGAAGTAATTTACTTCCGCTTTCTGTTTGTTTTTCAGTAAAATGTCTGGGAAAGGGAGGAAATCTAATTCATCGAAGAACGAAATACGGAGTTTCCTTTTATGGATATTTTACTGTTTTCTTGACCCAGTAGAGTTTATTATAAGCAAAATAGGTAAATTGTTTTGTTAATTCTATATACTGTGTTTACTTTTTATACATCAGTCATTCAAATTGTTATATTGTGCAATGCATATACAACATCTGATATTTGGTAGATTATTTTGAAGATTAACAGTTTGTTCGTTTAGTTTCAGCTATAAAATTGCTGATGGACTTGTCTTTGCGCTTTACGAAACAAGTATACAGGCTTGTTTACAGGCTTGTTAGTGGTGCTTTTCAGTTCGCCTTGTTTATATATTGGTAAGATGTTGTTTTAAAAAACAATATTAATTCATTACAGGAAAACAAACTTCCTTAATTATTACTACCTACTTCTCTTAGTATTTAAAATGTTTCTGAATAAAGTACTGTATAATATACGTGAATATTGATAACTGTATTTTATTGATCATTTTTTTTGTCGAGCCCGCTTGCTGTGAGCTCGACTTAGTCGTCACTTTTGGTGTATATTTCGCTGTATCTTGTTTATACTTTCAAGTATTAGTGGTGAGGTCGACGTCGTCGCCTATGTCACTTTTGGGGGTTTGGTGTATCAGCGTCCGTCAATTCGTGCGTTCATCTAGATTTGTCCGGTCTAAAGCTTGCTCATTCTTTGAAGGATTACAAAAAAGTTTGATACAAATGTTCGCCATGGTGGGACGGTGTGTCACACGCAAAACCTAAATTTGCCCCTCAAGGTCAAGGTCACACTTGGGGGTTGGTGCAAAACCCGTGTCCGGAGAGGAACTTCTTCATACGTGGTGGAATTTTATTATAATTTGGGACAAATGTTCTCCATGGTGAGAAGGAGTGTCGGATGAAAAATCCATGTGTCTGTGGGGTCAAGGTCTTACTTCAGGGTCAAAGGTCGAATAAGAAATAAAAACATTCATTTTTGAGTAAAGCTTGTATATACATGGTTGGTTTTTAATATTACTTAGAACATGGTCCAAACTTACCCATGCCATAACTTCTTTGTGCATTGAGGAATTTTCAATTAATATGAATTGAAATTTTAGGCACAAATGTTTATCATGAGACTTCATTTCATAAACATGAACCACGTAACCGGGTCAAGGGTCAAAGTCACCTAAGATAATGCAATGTCAAGAGTTTGCCTTTCAAATATAAAGAGAATGTGTTGCGCACATCTCACCTATGTATACATCTTTCTCCTTTATCTGAAGCTTATAGTTTCAGGTTTGAATTCAGACGAACTGGCTCGACATTCTGCCCGTGAGCATGTTTTGTTTTAAAATGCTATATATATATTTAAATCAGGATTCAAAGTAATTTTGAAATTATGTACAACAAATATTTAGTTGCTCCATTCAATCATAAAAGCTTCATTTTACATGTTTGCTGGTGTTTCCTGTGTCATTTTCTTGAATTTCTGGTTCGAAATTAAAATGTTATTTCAGGGACACTGTTGGAAGATATCAATATTTGTTAGATGAATATGAACAAGCTGAAAGTAGTCTGACCGAATCCAAAGAAAAAATCACCAAACTAAAAAAGGACGCTAAACTAGCTAAACAGGAGATTGGACGATTAGAGAAAACTTTGAGTTCAGAACAACGTGAAAGAATGAGTGCAGAGGAGAGAAATAAGGAGTTGGAACTACATATACATGAACTAGAAAAGGAGAAGACAGTAGCTCTTAAACGGTATGATCACTATCCGATAGTTGTCTTATTTTTGTATAGTCTTTTAAAAAATGTTACTATTTATATAGTTATTCATATACATGTACATGTAAAACAATGACTATATTTTCTTCTAATAAATTAAACATTGCGTTGCCTGGTCTTATTATTGATTATATTTAGTTTGTATACATTATCTTTCAGGTTAAGTGCCCAGGTGTCTGTCAAGTTGCGTGACAATAATCCCAAAATAGCAGATTTGAATGACGAATTTCGACCAACAAAACTGGCAGAGATGTTTGGTGAACTGTACGATAACGAATGGACATATGCCTTTAACTCACTTGAGAGTTGTTTCGGAGAGCAGCTGTGCATAAAAGTTCTTCTTGATATTGTTATGGTAACATACACATAATTACATAATCGTTATACAGATTTGTATATTTTCAAGGTGATACACTAATGGTATTAATTGATTGTTGCCTTACTTGATTATTAATCTACAAAATAAAAGAGTATCAAAGGTATGTTTGTATATTTTAGGAAGCATATGCATTTTGTGAAACAAAAGTTGCCGAGCCATGGGCTGTACTTGATGAATGGTTTCTTGATAAGGTAAATTATTTAATGCACACTATTTACATTTCCTAGCAAATGAGATTGACACTTATAGTATTACAGATTAGAATGTTTTGTAATAATCGGTATTTAAATATGGTTCCTTTGTTTTAAAATCCCAGAAATATGACCAGTATGAATTATACATTACAATCAGATCATCAATGATATTTTCAATCGATGGTCTTATATTCATTACTTATTAATAGTATGGTTTTGTACTTCAGAATATCAAGGGTGCACAGAATACAATAAAATGGCTCAAAGACAGTCGTAAAATCATTGTTAGAAGAAAAGTCCCGAGTATTCAAAAGGTAAAGACTTGGACATTATTTGATCACTGCATTGCTCAATAATCTGGGTTGCGTTTCATAGAAAATCCTCAGTCTAAAACCAATGGAGAAGATTAAGTGTTAAAGTTAATATTACGTCCTAAGGAAAGAATAAAAACGCAGCCCTGTTTGATAATGAAGAGTATGCTTCATTCAAACTGTGATACATATTTAAATACTTTAATCAATAATGATGAAAAAGCAACAGATGACAATATGGTTGTTTCATTTCAGGAATACGAATGTGAACTGTTGTCTGCATGCAAGAAAGATGATTTGAAAGAGCATTTACTAAAGGAGCCAATGAAGTTGTTCATAGCTAAATGCATCGAGCTTTGCTTGTTGATGACAACAACTGATCCACCTATTGTTATGGATTGTCCACTTCGGGAACCTTTTCTAAAACTTTCCTCAAAGAACTTGACTGAAATAAAAAATAATTGTGATGGTCGTAATATTGGGCCTCAAAATCAAACATTTCATAAAAAATATCTTATCAATTGTGAAAATGCCTCAAGCATAGACAGACAGAAGTGTATATTCGATAAAGGCTCATTTAAAGAGTATACTTGTCGAGGCACATATCTGGATTTCGTCGTTTGGCCTGCATTATTTTTACACAAAGGAGGCCCCTTGCTTAACAAAGGTGTTGCACAAGGAATAAAGACTCACTGATATAGTTGAAATGCATAAAACAGTTAAAAAATGATAAAAATGTCCAAAAACTCAAACAAATGTGTTGTTTTTTTCTGCAGCAAGCAAACTTTTTTTACGTGTTGTATAAAATATCTTAATAATTGGAAAAGAATTACTTATATTAAAGTCAACGATTACTGGATCAGTTATAAGTATACTATTAAGTTGTACGAAATTGTTCTATAATCGACCGATTGTATTTGTAGCTATAAGCCCGAATCCTTTTCTAGAAGTAACCAAGTAACCAGTACTAATCAAGAGTGTAAAGAAACAACGGCTTCTCCTGAAGAACTTTGTACTCACACGGCCAGCAATCCTTAGATTACTGGTCAGACGTAAAAGTCGATGCACATTTGTTTTAAAATGCTAATGAAATTCTTTTTTATAAGGGCGATTAACAGATCACGTATATCGATATTTAATAACTAGTATTCTTAACAACGGTCCATTCGAAGTTTGGTTGATATCAACGCAAAGATACCATATGGAACTTCTAATAGCACAGAACCTTGTCCGACGGGTGTCTACACTGTCCTTGATGAACGAGTATTTTGGTGGCACAGGCTTATCATGTTCCGTTCCAGCAGGTAATGCTGATGAAACACAAGAACTTATTGATTCAGAACAAATACATTTATTAGTTATTTGATATTTATAACTTAAACATAATCAAGCATCAAAATATAAGTTTAGGTTTAATTGCAATAAATAAGAAAAAGGGGGCTAATAATACTGTCTTGCTGTTAATTACTCTGTAATTTGAGATCTAATATGTGTAGCATATTATTCAAATGTAGTTTTAGGTGTAATAGTGCCTGAGTAAAGTTGAATCGAGACCAACATTCAGTGGTGCTCTTGACAGTTATGCAGAAATGTCCAAATGATAATACGGACAGCACGTGATCATATAGATTACTTTATGCGGCACTTTATCCAGGTTCCCTGAACTCTAATTGCCAACCGCTGGCTAGGGTGGTAGTGTATGTACGCTACATTCTAATTAACAAAGTAAAACACAAGACTTTAGAAATATAACACTAAGAGATTTATTGCATCGATGACAATCAGAATTATTTATGAATAGGTTGAATGAAATTTTATTTTAAACCAGAAATCTACTGAATATGATTAATTATTGAAGAGAATTTTAACAACAAGTTCTATACTATGTTAAAATGTTAAAAAAATCATTGAGAATTAAATATTGTCAGAACTATAAAGTTTTGAAAAGTTTTCAAGCTCTAAAGCTTTGAAGTGAACTGACCTGTCGGCCAGTTCCAAAGACCGCAAATATAAAAAATAGAGAAAATAAAATTCTCCAAAGAAAGCCCAACACAGCAAAATTGAAAAAAAAAATGAAAATGTTGCGGGCTCGGTTTGATTGAGCCTGTTCATGTAAGGTACTGTCAAGTGTAATCTACCGTCCACGACCCTAGCACCGGCTTAAGCAGAATTCAACATTTAACATGAACTCTGATTGGTCTTAAATGTATTTTAAATGTATGTGTTTTTTATGTTCTGTATTTGTAAATGTGAGAAAGAGATTGAAATAAACGAATAAATAAATACTATGAATATTTTATCAAGCAAACAAATATCTCATGAACTGGTAAAATTTTGAATTTTAAAACATCCGCAGATGTGTTCATATGTTAATCACACGGTATTTACACTCACTTTGATCGTCATAGAAAAAGATAACTATAACACTGATTGGTCAAAATAGATCATAACAAGTTCTAAACTAATCGAATAAAAGGACATTTGAACTTTT